TGAATTATGTCCCCCAAAACTCACTGAAGCTTGAATTGTGTCCCCAAGCTTAATCTCCACTGTAACAGTTGAGGGTGGGAGATCCTATTATGGTAATTGAAAGGTGGAGCCTTGAAGAGGTGATTAGATTGTAGGACCATGCTGTATTGAATGGATTAAAAATGGTGGTTGTGGGCATGGTTTGGAGGGCTTTAAAAGGAGAGTGAATGAGGAAGTTGGACATTTGATCTATCTATCCACTGGAGCTGGTATACACTCTTCTCTCCTGTCAGTGGACATCAGAGCTCAAGACTCTTCAGCTTCAGGGTTCCAGGACTTACAACAAGAACACCATCTGCTTCCCTGGTTTTAAGGCATTCTGACTTGGACAGAGCCATGCTACCCGCATCCAGTTTACAGATGGCCTATCATGGGACTTTTCTTCATAATCAAGTGAGCTAATTCCCCTAATAAATTCCTTCATATATTTATAACATATGCTATTGATTCTGTCTCTCTGGAGAACCCTGACTAATACAAGTCTCAAGGTAATGTGGAGACAAAGTGCATAGACTCTAGAACTATGACAGTAAAGAGCATGGAATATAGATTCAGAGGTTCTTATCTTCGAATCCCAATTTTGGCACTTATTGACTGTAATCTAGGAAACTTGCATAGGTCTTTCTGTCTCTTTTTCTTCATCTGTAAAATGAATTCATAATAATTTTATCTGTCTAATAAAGCTTTTTGTAAATACTCAATGAGTTAATATATGTATAACATTTAGAATGTATTATATACTCAATAACAGATAATCAAAACTTGATTCTCATTTCCTTCAATACAGGATTTCTATTAAATTAGTTATTATTAGTATTCTGCCAGTCTGTCAATTCTGTAACCCTATATTTTTTACCCAAAGCTGAAATTTTTTCAAAGACCTTAACAGGTATTTTTAAAGGGTACACCAAATTTCATAGCCATTAAATAATTAAATCATAAGGCAAATTTTTCTGGATAGAGCCATGTAAGTATCAAACAGCCTTTTAACCATGACAGGGATTCTCATATATGTTTCTTTTCAGAAAGCAAATTATTTTTCCTTGGGAAGTATGTATCTAGTTTAGAAAAGTTACATTTTAAACATTAATTTATTATGTTGACATTTAGAAATAAGCATTGTATTAAATGAGTTTGGTTGGGGGGATTTAGCTCTCTTGGTATTTTATTAGGCATAAAATACTAATAATATTTATTTTTCTTTGAAAATGCAAAATAACTCAGGGAATATATATACAAGAAAAGTTATTGACAATCTGTTTAATGATATTTTGCACTCTCTTTTCACCTTCATCTAATTCAAGAAGACTTTTATAGACTTTGTTGGCTGAGCTGATGGGAGAGCAAATGCCACAGTTCAGAGTGGGATTTTTTCTGTCAAAGAAAACTATTTTAATGGAATTAAATGGTAGAGGGATTGAGTTATCTCTTTCATATTTGAATGTCATTTGTACTTAAAATCATCTTGTTATTAATTCATAGCGTAAGAGAGTATGGTAATGTAAGTGTGTGTGAGAGAGAAAGAGAGAGAGAGAGATGAGAGACAGAGGTCCCAGATATGGGAGATATCTGGGAAGGTTTCATTTCTTAACATGGTGTGTTCACAAAAACACAAGTTCATCACTGAGCCTGGTTCAAAGAGTTGATGTCCAGGATGAATAAAAGTTGGCATGATAATGGAGAGTGGTGTGGTTTAAGATGTACAAGTTAATGAAAACTGATTGTTAGGTGACAAAGTATTTGAATTTTATATCTAATACTGACAATTTCTTAACTTATTAGCTATAGAAATACACCTTCTTTGCTGAACCTGTTTGTTTAATGAGACATAGGCACAATATTTGGTGGAATGGGGAATAGACACCATAGCTTCTTTCCCCGAGGTGTTTTAGTGGGGTAAGATCAAGCCTCCACTCATACAACCCTTTGCTAAAACATAAAGTGAAAAAACAAGAAAAAAAAGATGAAAAGAAAAAGACAAAGAAACATATCAGAAGAAAACTGGCATTCAAGACATGTTCAAAAGTTCTAATGTGTGGCGAAGTTTAAGAAGAAAAGAGAGTAAGACAGACCAATATTTAAGAGACAATGGCCCAAAAGTTTCCACCTGAAATTAGTGTTCTGTAGATCATCACGAATTTATGTCTTTCTTGAAACTCAATTTAAAAGTATTACAGAAAGAAAACCTCAGTCACAGATAGCATCTTTAATGAATCATTTGGAACATTTTGCTAAGAAATAGCAGAAATCCTACACACATATCTGTAGAGAATATAAGAAGATCACAATTTTTATGAGGTAAACATCACCTATATTCTGGATTAGGGAATCATAGAAAATAAATATTAAAGACCAACATACCCCATAAAATTGATTAAAAATTCAAATATACAGACCCATATCTAATTTGGTGATTATACGTGCACACACAAGTGCATGCATACACTATGATCTTGCTAGATTTAATTCAGGCATCAAAGTCATTTTTTATGCAAAAATTACACAATGTAATTCATTATGCACACTCAAAGAGGAGGAAATCATTTGATAATCTAGTTTTAAGAAGAAAAAATCTGACTAGATTTGATACAAATAATACAAAAATATATTAAACTAGAAATGAGATAATTTCCTTGACCTGACTAATAAAAACTACAATGAACATTAATCTCTGTTGTGAAATATTATTTTTTCAGAGACTAGGTAGAAGAGGAAAATGTTCATTATGCTTACTTCTACAATTTACTAGAGCCTTAATAAATACAACTGGGTAGAAATGAGATAATTTCCTTGACCTGACTAATAAAAACTACAATGAACATTAATCTCTGTTGTTAAATATTATTTTTTCAGAGACTAGGTGGAAGAGGAAAATGTTCATTATGCTTACTTCTACAATTTACTAGAGCCTTAATAAATACAACTGGGTAAAGGAAAGAAATAAAGCTTTATCATTATTTACAAACAATACTGCTGAACTATGAGTTCAGCAAAATACTCCAAAGACAAGTCATGAGAATCAATCATTTAATTCATCAGAGTAAGTAGATACCTTTTTACATTTAAAAAGCACATGCTGGCACAGTAAATAGAAACTGAAATTTAAAGCATACCATTTATGATGGCATCAAAAATACAGAGGGAAAAAAACCCTAATGAGAGATATGTAAGACTTCCACACTTAAAGTTCCTGAGATTATTGAGAGACATTTAAGAACATTTAATTTAATCAAGGGATGCATTATATTTGAAAATTGAAAGTCTTATTGTATGAATGGCTAATCACTCCAAATTAGTCTGTAAGTTAAGCTCAGGATTTTGTAGAAATTGAATATATTGTACAAAACCTTATACAGACATGAATACCAAAAATAGTTAAGGTCATTTGAAGTAGAAGTATACTTCAGTTATTGGATGGATCATGACCCTGGGCAAGGCACGTTTCTCCAGCTGAGGGGCTAAGAGATGAAGGTTCTCTACTGGAAGCACATCCAGCAGCTGGGGCCACAAGTCCTTTACTGAAATGAGATCTGGATAGTGTACTTCCATGTCCATCACAACCCATCTCACAGCCCTCAAAACTGATATAGTAGGGCTCCAGCCATCTACCAGTGACATTATTGTCTCTACTGTATTTCATTAAAAGCTTTCATTTATTTTTTTTTTTTAATTTTCCCCTCAACTTTTTTTTCTTATCTCCATTTTATACTGTGAACACTGAAAGTTCTCAGGCTATAAAACCTATAATTCTGAAGAGGACTTGAATTAGGATCTATACCTGAGAAACAGAAGGAAATACCAAGCTATAATCTCCATGTAATAAGAAAGAGTTCTCTTTCTTATTTTCCCCACGTCCAGGCGTCCCCGTCCTCAATGAGTCAGACTCCGTGCTCATTCTATTCTCCAGCCCCAAGCAGTCTAAACTGAGCTTTCATTGGAGCCCTTATCCTGGATAAAGCATTCAGCTAATCACCAAATTCTACACCTACCCAGCAGAATACTTGTTCAGAGCATTCATTTTCCTGTACCTCCAAGCAACATTTTTTTCTCTCTATCCTTCAATATCCCTAGCTGATTTGACTTTTTCTCCTTTCTCACTCAGAAGATTTTGTTCTACTTTCTGTTCTGTAGCTGACTCATCAAACCAATCTAGGCAGTCACATTGAATTATACTATTATACACACATAATATTCACATTGAAGTATAATATTATATAAAATTGTTTCCTATTGTACAGAACAGAGAGTCTACACAATTGCCCGGCTGTTTAGACATGTGCTGTCAGGTTTTCTTCAGCAGCTCCCGTGTATCTGCTTCAGCATTTGCTGGCAAATTGAGGGAGCTGCTATATCTAAAGTAGCAATAAGAGAAAAGACACATCATTGCCCAATGATGAGATGAGGACTTAGTTCATAGCCAACAGCCACAGTAGCAGTTCAAAGTGCAGTCAGAAACTCAAGTTCCAAACTTGCCCTAAGAACTCAGAAATATTTTTATAAAAAGTTATGACATTGTGGCACACGAAACAAAATATGGACAAATGTATTAGAAAAAGAGAGAAAAAGATACAGATTGATTTCCTAGTTTTAAGTCATTAACATGAGAAACCATGTAAGCATAGTTACGTTTCATAAGTAAAGTTACTGTTATCATTAATAATAATAATTTAATAATATTAACAAATTTGTATACAGTTTTAAAAAATTAATTTCTATTACATACATTGTCTATTTTAAGTCTGGTAATAATCCTAGGGATAGATAAAGGCCATAGTTATTATCACAATTTGCCAAGAGAAACCTAAATCATAAAGATTAAGGAATAACTGAGATCACCTATCTAAGAAGTGAAAGAATTAGGAATTTAACAAAATGAACAAGACCCAAATACTTTACTTCTCATACACTAAAATAGTTTCCCTACGATTTTCAGTGAGAAAACTATAGAGAATAGAGGTTACTTAAAACTTCCTCCCTGGCCCAAACATGCGGAGAATTCCTAGACGGATCTGCTTTGTCCTGACACTGTAAACAACAGGGTTAAGCACCGGGGGAAGGAGCAGGTACATGTCAGCCATGAGGACGTGGACTACGGGGGCCAGATGTTTCCCAAAGCGATGGATTATTGACACCCCAATAACTGGCACAAAGAAGATGAGCACCACGCAGATATGGGACACACACGTGTTGAGGGCTTTTAGGCGCTCTTCACGAGATGCAGCACCCAGCACAGCGTTCAGAATCAGAACATAAGAAAGAAGTATGAGGACTGAATCCACGCCCAGTGTGGCAATGACGACACACAGTCCATAAGCGCTGTTGATCCTGGCATCTGAACAGGATAATTTCAGGACATCCTGGTGCAAGCAGAAGGCATGGGAGAGGGCATTGACACGGCAGTAGTGATAGCGTCTCAGGAGCAGTGGGGTGGGCAGTACGACGCTCGTGCTTCGCAGCAAGCAGGCCAGACCAATCCTGCCAACTACACTGTTGGTGAGGAGAGCGGAGTAGTGCAGTGGGAGGCAGATAGCAACCAGACGGTCCAAGGCCATGGCCAGCAGCACCGAGGACTCCAAGAATGTGAAAGTGTGGATGAAGAACAGCTGCGCATAGCAAGCACTCGCCTGGATTTCCTGAGCATCCAACCATAACACGGCAAGCACGGTGGGAAGTGTGGACAGGGACATACCCAGGTCAGTTAGTGCCAAGAAGGAAAGGAAGTAATACATGGGCTGATGGAGCGAGGACTCTATCCAGATGACAGAGAGGATGGTAACATTACCAATAAATGCTACCAAATACACAAGAAAGAATGGGATGGAGAGCCAAGAATGAACGTACTCCAGCCCAGGAAAACCCCTCAGAATAAATGTGGGCTCCATAGAATCACTATTATTCCAGACAACCATGGTGACCCTCGAGCAGCTTGGCAAACACTGAGGAATGCACCTTGTTATTCTTCCTTATCCCCGAAAATTATCTCATGTGAGCACGAGCAATGTTCTCAGGACAAAATTCATCTTGCCTCTAACCCCACAGAAGAAGAAACAAGTATTTTTGTTATCGGCCTTATGCAAAAAAACATTTCCAAATATTAAAGAGGACCAAACTCTGGAATAAAATTGTGGACCACACAAATATGGTCATCTCTGGCAAGACATCTGCTGAATTTTCATGGTTGACACTGAAAAATGTAAGCAGCACGAAAGTAGATAAGATATGTTTACTGTATATCATAAAGATTAAAATAGAGAAAAGTCAGAGTAAATGGCTATGGATTTGCATAAGCTTCCTGTCAGTAATGTTCTTGATTTAATCACCTACTGCTTCTAGGCTGTCTTCATGCATAAAAATTAAATTAATCCTAAGGGCTCAGCATAATTTCCCTTAAAATTTATTTTTATTTAATAATTGGTATGATTTAAGCATTTAAAATATTTAATATTTTAATGATTAAAGATAAATACCCCATTATATGAAAAGAAGACATGGACAAGAGAAAAAAAAATCCATAATCTCAACACAATTGCATATTTTTGAGCTGTTCAGTATAGCAACTCTACTCTAAAAAATTCTCATAGTATAAAAATTATATATACAAGTGTGTGTGTATATATATATATATATTAGATATTAAGCACTTTGAAAGTAAATCTTTAGGACACAAGATTATAACGTAACTATGCAAATCCTTCTAAAGGTGATTTCTTGTCTGCTCTCCCAAAAAATAATACAAAAACATTTAACAGTTATCTGTTATATATTATATTTCTTAAATAACTAAAATGGGTACTATTCCACCTTAATTGTATTCATTATTTCTTGATTGATTTATTTTTCTCGTAAAATGATGCTTATACACACATTATTAAAATAATAGTAGACCCAGATATTAAGTGGTCCTCCAAGTTTATGACCCATTTACACCTACTTCCTTGAACTCATAGCAATCCCAGTAATGTGTCCCTAGCACTCAGCATAAGTGCCTCTACGAAACAACTGAGTTCTTTTTTCCTGTTTTAAAATATATTTCTAGTGTCTAGCTTTACTTTCCATCAGCAAACTTTACTGTGATGGCCTCTCTTCTTGTGCTGATACCAGTGTTGCCCCAGCCACGTCCTTGGTTGATGGCACTGGGTGCAGCAGCTAAACACTGGGATTTTTCTGTCCCTTCTGTTCTCTAGGTCCTTATTTTAGCCCTGCCTCACCCCACTGACTGTCCCTGAGAAAATTCTCCACTTACCTTGTGCTGTAGAGTCTAGCTTCATAGTCTTCAGACATCTCCACAGCAATGTCTCAGCATGTCCCTCATCCCTCTTGGTAGACCCTTCATCTCTGACCTCTGGAAAGTCTGACATAGGAGTCAGCACTAGCCTGAAGTGAAACTCTTTCCAAATGTGGCCTCAAAACTGATATAGTAGGGCTCCAGCCATCTACCAGTGACATTATTGTCTCTACTGTATTTCATTAAAAGCTTTCATTTATTTTTTTTTTTTAATTTTCCCCTCAACTTTTTTTTCTTATCTCCATTTTATACTGTGAACACTGAAAGTTCTCAGGCTATAAAACCTATAATTCTGAAGAGGACTTGAATTAGGATCTATACCTGAGAAACAGAAGGAAATACCAAGCTATAATCTCCATGTAATAAGAAAGAGTTCTCTTTCTTATTTTCCCCACGTCCAGGCGTCCCCGTCCTCAATGAGTCAGACTCCGTGCTCATTCTATTCTCCAGCCCCAAGCAGTCTAAACTGAGCTTTCATTGGAGCCCTTATCCTGGATAAAGCATTCAGCTAATCACCAAATTCTACACCTACCCAGCAGAATACTTGTTCAGAGCATTCATTTTCCTGTACCTCCAAGCAACATTTTTTTCTCTCTATCCTTCAATATCCCTAGCTGATTTGACTTTTTCTCCTTTCTCACTCAGAAGATTTTGTTCTACTTTCTGTTCTGTAGCTGACTCATCAAACCAATCTAGGCAGTCACATTGAATTATACTATTATACACACATAATATTCACATTGAAGTATAATATTATACACACATATAATATTTCGGTGACAATGGACAAGTAGGTTTTTACCCTATGCCAAGAAATCATTCAATACTTTCTCCTTTAATTGTTCCAACCTGACATAAATCACATTTTCTTTATTTCTCAGCTAAATTGCAGGGAATAAAGTGGATCACTGCTCTCTAAAATTGTCTTTTTTCCTGTTCTGAGTCCTCTATGTGCAGATTTCAATGTTTAGAAAACTTCACTTGTAAACCTGTCTGTAGACTTGAAGTTAGGACAGGAGGAAATATTCCTGTTTATACTCTCCATTTTTTAAATTGTATGTATTTAAGGTGTATAGCATTATGTTCTTATATACATGTGCATAGTGAAATGATTATTACAGTCAAGCAAATTACCTTATTCATCACCTTCCATGGTTACTTTGTATGTTTGAGTGCATGTGTGTGGGCATGTGTGCGTGTGTGTGCATGTGTGTGTGGTGAGAGCTCATAAAATCTACACTCTGGGCAAATTTTCAGTATACAATAACAATATTATTAACTATAGTTCTCATGTTGTATATCAGATCTCTGGACTTGCTCATCCTATTTAACCACAAGTTTGTACACTTTGGCCAATTTCTCACCACGTGCACCCTGTTCAACTCTCTGTGTTTATGTGTGTTCTCCTTTCTTCTCTCACATCCCCATCTGTCATGTCTCTCTTTTACTTTTTCTCAGTCCCTTTATCGATTTTTTTCTTCTCTGAAATTTTCTTCTGACCCTATTTCTAGGTCATTAACAATGATTCTTTGTGGTTCTATCTTCATGATAGTACAATTTAGTCATGCTAAGGTTGAAAGAGGAATAACAGAAAGAG